AAGGAAATCAGAAAAACAATACCATGTATAATAGCCCCTAAAAAAATAAAATACTTAGGAATAAATCTAACCAGGGATGTAAAAGACCTGTACAAAGAAAACTACAAAACACTACTGCAAGAAACCAAAAGAGAACTACATAAATGGAAAACATACTATGCTCATGGAAAAGTAGACTCAACATTGTAAGAATGTCAGTTCTACCCACAGCAATCTACAAATACAATGTAATCCTGATCCAAATACCAACAACATTCTTTAAAGAGATGGAAAAACTAATCATTCACTTTATATGGAAAGGGAAGAGGCCCCGGATAAGTAAAGCACTATTGAAGAAGAAGAATAAAGTAGGAGTACTCGCACTACCTGACCTCAGAACCTGCTATACAGCTACGATAGTCAAAACAGCCTGGTACTGGTACAACGAAAGATATATTGACCAATGGAACAAAATTGAGGACCCAGATGTAAATTCATCCACCTGTGGTCACCTGATCTTCAACAAGGGCCCAAAGTCCATCAAATGGGGAAAAGACAGTCTTTTTAACAAAACTGGATGTTTTTCCATCTCTTTAAAGAATGCTGTTGGTATTTGGATTGGGATTGCATTGTATTTGTAGACTGCTGTGGGTAGAACTGATATTCTCACAATGTTGAGTCTACCTATCCATGAGCATGGTATTTTTTCCATTTATGTAGTTCTCTTTTTGGCAAAACTGGATGTCCATATGCAAAAAAAGAAGCAGGACCCATACCTCACACCATACACAAAAGCTAATTCAAAATGGATCAAAGACCTAAATATAAAACCAAAAACTATGAAGATCATAGAAGAAAAAAACAGGATCAATGCCAAAGGCCCTAATACATGACATTAACAGTCTACAAACCATAACTAACAACACACAAACTCCAAACGATAAGCTAGATAACTGGGATCTTCTAAAAATTAAACACTTACACTCATCAAAATACTTCGCCAAAAGGGTAAAAAGAGAACCTACAGACTGGGAAAAAATTTTTGGTTATGACAAATCTGACAAAGGTTTCCAGGAAAATCCAACACCTCTACAATGAAAAGACAAATAATCCAATTAAAAAATGGGCAAAGCATATGAACAGACACTTCACCAAAGCAGATATTCAAGTGGCCAACAGACACATGAGGAAATGCTTGTGATCACTAGCCCTTAGAGAAATGCAGATCAAAACCATAATGAGATACCATCTCACTCCAACATTACTGGCATGAATTTAAAAAAAAAAGGAAATAACAAATATTGGAGAGGCTGCGGGGAGATTGGAACGCTTATGCACTGCTAGTGGGAATGCAAAATGGTACAACCATTTTGGAAAACGATATGGCACTTCCTTAGAAAGCTAGAAAAAGAAATACCATATGATCCAGCAATCCCACTCCTAGGAATATATCCTAGAGAAATAAGATCCGTCACATGAATAGATGTGTTCATTGCAGCATTATTCACAATAGCAAAAAGATGGAAACAACCTAGATGCCTATCCACAGATGAATGGTTAAACAAACTATGGTACGTACACACAATGGAATACTAAAAAAAAACCCAAAAAAACCCGTTACCATCGAGTCGATTCCGACTCATAGTGACCCTATAGAGCAGAGTAGAACTGCCCCGTAGGGTTTCCACAGAGCTCCTGGTGGATTTGAACTGCCAACCTTTTGGTTAGCAGCCATAGCAGTTAACCACTACACCACCAGGGTTTCCAATGGAATACTGTGCAACAATAAAGAACAATGATGAATCTGCAAAGCATCTCACAACATGGATGAATCTGGTGGTCATTGTGCTGAGTGAAATAAGTCAATCACAAAAGGACAAATATCGTATGAGACCGATAAAAACTCATGAAAAGGTTTACACACAAAAAGAATCTTTGATGGTTACAAGGGAGGGGTGGGGGTGGAAATACACTAAATAGACAATAGATAAGTGGTAACTTCAGTGAAAGGTAAGACAGTACACAATACTGGGGAAACCAGCACAACTTGTCCAAGGCAAGGTCATGGAAGCTCCATAGACATATCCAAACTCCCTGAGGGACCGAGTTACTGGGCTGAGGGCTGTGGGAACCATGGTCTCGGGGAACATCTAGCTCAATTGGCATAGCATAGTTTATAAAGAAAATGTTCTACATCCTACTTTGGTGAGTAGCGTCTGGGGTCTTAAAAGCTTGTGAGTGGCCATCTAAGATCCTTCACTGGTCTCACCCTGTCTGGAGCAAGGGAGAATAAAGAAAATCAAAGACACAAGGGAATGATTAGTCCAAATGCTAATGGATCACAACTACCACAGCCTCCACCAGACTGAGTCCAGCACAACTATATGGTGCCTGGCTACCACCACTGACTGCTCTCTCTGACAGAGATCACAACAGAGGGTCCCGGACAGAGCTGAAGAAAAATGTAGAACAAAATTCTGACTCACACACACACACACACACACACACACACACACACACACACGAAAAGACCAGACTTACTGGTCGACAGAGACTGGAGAAACTCTGAGAGTATGGCCCCTGGATACCGTTTTAAGTCAGTACTGAAGTCACTCCTGAGGTTCACCCTTCAGCCAAAGATTAGACAGGCCCGTAAAACAAAATGAGACCAAATGGGTACACCAGCCCAGGGGCAAGGACGAGAAGGCAGGAGGGGACAGGAAGGCTTGTAATAGGGAACCCAAGGTCAAGAAGGACAGAGTGTTGACATGTCGTGGGGTTGGCAACCAATGTCATAAAACAACACGTGTACTAATTGTTTAATGAGAAGCTAGTTTGTTCTGTAATCTTTCATCTAAAGTACAAACAAAAATTTTTTTTGCTGCTCTCTTTTAGGTATTGTGCAACAGGACCCAAATATGTCTTCCTTGGCACTTTTTAATACACCTACCAACCCTGCGGATCAATGTGAAGTAAGTACTAAGCTTTTTGAGTATATTCTACAGCTGTTTCAGAAGTCACTTTGTTGTTCTCAAAATATCACTTTCCTCTTGCACAAAAAGCAGTTTAATATCAATCCAGTTAGAGGACTGAAGTTTTGATATAAACACATAAGAAAGAAACAGATGGTGGTGGAAAGTAAAGCTGAGAGTTTATGTAACTTTTCAAAATATCTCTATTGCAATTAAAAAAACTAACAGATTAAAGATTTTTACATTGTGAAATATCATTTATACACAGAAATGTGCATAAAACCCTTGTGTAATCACCATGTGGGTCAAGAAAGGAAACATGGCTAAGAAGCCAGGAGTGTGTCCCTTCCTGATCACTTCTCTCCCTCTCCTCTAGAGGGAAGCAGTGCCCTGATGTTCATGGTGATGACACCCTCACTTTCCTCTATTTTTACCCTCTATCTGTGTATCCCTAAACAATGTGGTTTAATTTTAGAATACAGATAAATGGAATCACACTCCATGTGTTCCTTTGTGTCATTCCCACTAGGTTTGTGAGTTTCATCCATGTTGTTATGTGTAGCAATAATTTTGTTCAATTGTATTGCTGTATAATATTCCATCGTATGAACATACTTTATTTATCCATTCTATTGTTGATGAACCTTTGGGTCTATATCAAGCTCCAGTTAAGAAAACAGGAACTATATCTTTTAATAGAGACATTGGTTAAAAAGACAAAATTGGTTAAATAGCCATTGGAGGACTAAAAAGGCAAAAAGCAGACAGTGAGGTAATGCTGAGGCAGCAATTCCAAGAAGCGGCTACCATCCCTGAGGTTGGAGAAACAAAATAAAGGGGTTGGGGTTTCAGAACCTAGAAGCTTAGTGGAGGTGTAACCAAGGCCTCTGAGGGGTAACCCCGGCCCCCGTATTAGAAAATTTAAAAAAAAAAAAAAAAAAAAAAAAAATCTTAGAATTCATAAAATAGGGTAAATAAAAAAACTTTAAAAGAACTGCGGGGAAGAAGTAATAAAATGTGGCATGGAATATTTGAAAAAGAATCAAACAAAACTTCTAGAAATGAAAAATGCATTGAAATTACTCAGTGGACTTAACTGGCAGCAAAATGGACATAGCAGAAGAGAGATAAGTGAATCAGAAGTCAAATTAGAACAGAGGCAGGATGGAGAGAGAAAATAGTAGAACATACAGCAGAAGGTATGGTGAGTGTGTCTAACTAGCAATTGATCTAAGTTCTGATAGGTAATTAGAGAAACCAGAGTAATTGTTGAGAACATAATAGCTGAGACTTTTTCATACTCAAGACTCAGTCCATAGAATCAAGAGGCTAGGCAAATCCCAGCGAAGATAAATGAAAATAAATTTGCACCTAGATACATAGTGAAGTTGCAGAAAAAGATGAACAAAATCCCTAAGTCATTCAGAGAAAGAAAGATAGACTACCTTAAAAAGAATAGCAGTTGGAATAATATCTGACAGCATCAACAGAAGCTAGAAAAGGAACGATATCTTTAAAGTGCTGTAAGAAAATAACTGTCAATCTAGAAATATACAAACAGCAGAAATATCTTTCAAGAGTATGGATGAAAGAAAAGACTTTTTCCTACAAATGAAAACTAAGAGGGGAGAGTCTATTCAGCAACAAAATCTAACTAAAGATTTTAAAGAATGTACCCTAGGCAGAAAGAAAGAGAACCCAAATAGTAGGTTTAAGGTGAGGGAAGAAAAAAGAAGAAAGAGGTAAATATGTAAGCAGATGTAAATTAACACTGAATAAAGCAGTGATAATAATATTTAGGTGATTTAAAACAGAACAAGATGGATTTGAAAATGAAGACAATAACATGTCATTCAGAAGAAGAGTAAATGAGTTTAAAGTATTCTAAGATCCAGAATGCTCCTTAGAAGCAAAGATGGCGAGACTATGTCTCACACACTTTGGACATGTTATCAGTAGGGACCAGTCCCTGGAGAAGGACGTCATGCTTGGTAAAGTAGAGGGTCAGTGAAAAAGAGGAAGACCCTTACGGTGATGGATTGACACAGTAGCTCCAACAATGGCTCCAGCATAACAAGGATTGTGAGGATGGCACAGGACCGGGCAGTGCTTCATTCTGTTGTACATAGAGTTGCGATGAGTTGGAACTGACTCAACGGCACCTAACAACAACCACAAGATCGTTGTAAAGGTCCCTGGGTGAAATGAACGTTTTGCACTTGGCTACTAACTCAGTCACTACTTGTCTTGTCACTGTGGTGGCTTATGTGTTGCTGTGATGCTGGAAGCTGTGCCACTGGTATTTCAAATACCAGCAGGGTCACCCATGATTAGAAAACCAAAAGGCAAGAATACACTTGGCATTTCTCAAGCTTAAGGAACTGAAGAAAAAATTCAAGCCTCCAGTTACAATATTGAAGGATTCTATGGGGAAAATATTGAATGATGCAGGAAGCATCAAAAGAAGATGGAAGGAATACACAGAGTCATTATACCAAAAAGAGCTGGTCAACATTCAGTCATTTCAAGAGGTAGCATACGGTCAGGAGCCAATGGTACTGAATGAAGAAGTCCAAGCTGAACTGAAGGCAATGTCGAAAAACAAGGCTCCAGAAATTGATGGAATATCAACTGAGATGTTTCAGCAAACAAATGCAACGCTGGAAGTGCTCACTAGTCTATGCCAAGAAATTTGGAAGACAGCTACCTGGCCAACCGACTGGAAGAGATACATATTTGTGCCCATTCCAGAGAAAGGTGATCCAACAGAATGCAGAAATTATTGAACAATATCATTAATATCACATGCAAGTAAAATTTTACTGAGGATCATTCAAAAGTAGTTGCAGCAGTACATTGACAGGGAATTGCCAGATATTCAAGCCGGATTCAGAAGAGGATGTGAAAGTAGGGATATCATTGCTGATGTCAGATGGATCTTGTCTGAAAGCAGAGAATACCAGAAAGATGTTTACCAGTGTGTTATTGACTATGCAAAGGCATTTGACTGTGTGGATCATAACAAATTATGGATAACATTACAAAGAATGGGAATTCCAGAACACTTAATTGTGCTCATGAAGAACCTGTATATAGACCAAGAGGCAGTTGTTTGAATGGAACAAGGGGATATTGTGTGGTTTAAATTCAGGAAATGTATGCGGCAAGTTTGTATCCTTTCACCATAGTTACTCAATCTGTATGCTGAGCAAATAATCCGAGAAGCTGGACTATAGAAGAATCGGGTATCAAGATTGGAGGAAGACTCATTAACAACCTACGTTAAACAGATGACACAACCTTGCTTGTTGAAAGTGAAGAGGACTTGAAGCCCTTATTGATGAAGGTCAAAGACCACAGCCTTCAGTATGGATTGCACCTCAACATAAAGAAAACAAGAATCCTCACAAGTGGACAAGTAAGCAACATCATGATAAATGGAGAAAAGATTAAAATTGTCAAGGATTTCATTTTACTCGGATGCACAATCAACGCCCATGGAAGCAGCAGTCAGGAAATCAAACGATGCATTGCATTGGGCAAATCTGCTGCAAAAGACCTCTTTAAAGTGTTAAAAAGCAAACATGTCGCTCTGGGGACTAAGATGTACCTGACCCAAGTCATGGTATTTTCAATTGTCTCTTATGCATGTAAAAGCTGGACAATAAATAAGGAAGACTGAAGAAGAATTGATGCCTTTGAATTATGGTGTTGGTGAAGAATATTGAATATACCATGGACTTCCAGAAGAATGAACAAATCTGTCTTGGAAGAAGTACCGCCAGAATGCTCCTTAGCAGCAAGGAGGGCAAGACATTGTCTCACATACTTTGGACATGTTATCAGGAAAGATCAGTCCCTGGAGAAAGACGTCATGCTTAGTAAAGTAGAGGGTCAGCCAAAGAGAGGAAGACCCTCAACAAGATGGATTGACACGGTGGTTGCAACAACGGGCTCAAACATAGCAATGATTTTTGAGGATGGTGCAGGAATGGGCAGTATTTCATTCTGTTGTACATAGGGTCGTTATGAGTTGGAACTGACTCAGTGGCACCTAACAACAACAAGAACACTAACTGAAGGATTGGTTGTTTGAACCCACTCAGCAGCACTGCAGAAGAAAGGCCCAGCAATCTGCTTCCGTAAAGATTATAGCCATGAAGCTCTATGGAGATCACTTCTGCTCTAATAAATGGGGTCACCATGAGTTGGCATCGACTCCACAGCAATAATTTTTTTAAAATTAATTTTCTTTCATTGCCCAGGAGAAGGGTAAAGATTTCATTAAGCTTGGACTTTGTGAAGTTGATTGTGTTTGCTTTAATTTGTAGGGTAGCTACAAAAAGAATAGAAACAATATGAATAATTTCAAAGGGAAAAGTGTAATGATAAAACATATCAGCTATTTTAACGAGACAAGAGAGAAAAGAAACAATGAAGAAGTGGCCAGCATAAGCTAAGATGGCAGAAATAAATCTCAATAAACCAGTAATTATATTGATTGGAAATGAACAAAATATTCCAGTGAAACATGAAGATTGTCAGACTTCATAAGATAAAATTCAGCCCTGTGCTTCTTCCAAGGGAAACCTTGAAAATACGCATATAGAAAGCGTAATATAAATTAAGCATTTACTAAAAGAAGGCTGATGTGGCTACATGAATAGCAGACAAAATAAAATCTAAGGCAAAAAAAATTATTACTGGAAATAAAGAGTCGCTTAATTATGATAAAAGGTTTATTTGACCTGGAAGAATACTAATTTAAAAAAATTATCGTATCTTTTGTTGTTGAAAATATACACAGCAAAACATACTCCAATTCAGCAGTTTCTACTTTTTCTAATTCAAGGACACGATTATATTCTTCAAGTTGAGCAACCAGTTTCACCCTCCTCTATTGAATTGTTCCTCCTCCATTAACATAATCTCACTGTCCCTAAGTTTCCTATCTAATATTTCAAGTTGCTGTTGTCAGTTTAATCCCATATAGATCGTTC